GGAGGCCTCACCTGACGGGTTGGTCTGAAAGTCCGCTTGTTAAGATTCATCGCCGCCCGCCCAACACGTCCGTGGACCCAAAATGGTGGCGTGCTTGCTCATTCCAGTGGTAAATGCCGTGCTTTTTAAATTCCATGCCCACAATTGCCCTTAGCGAAGGTTCAAACGTCTCCCTAGCGCGCCCGGAGGCATGAGTCCGGAGGCAAGAATGACAGGGCGACCACCAGCCAGAGTCTCCAGAGGGATTTCTGGGGCTTGCTGATATTTGTACGGCTCGCCAAATAGGACCCCAAACTTGTATTCGGTATTCAATGTGGTTTCCCTTTGACTTGGTTGCTGTTAACCCCTCTGCAAAAGTTTAACTTTTGTGGGTTTAATGGAAAACCCCTTGATTTCCCAAAAAGTTAAAGTCTAAAGATCCAACCCAATAGCAGTCAAGTTGACCTATATCACAGACTCTGGTTGGGGGCCTCCTTGTCGAGGTCCGAACTGCGAGAAATCATCCTCTGCCACCTCTCCCGATCAGCGCTTGCCCGCAGTCGAGAGCCTCAAAGCCGCACCCTGTTGGAATGCCGGGGCAGGGCTGGCGTCCTAGTGATGGTTTGCAACTCCTGCACTAACTGACACCTGCTCGTGACACGCCCGAATCATGAATTCAACATGTCCAAATGTATCTATCTCAATTTGTGTAGGCATGTTGTTCATGGTTGTCATTCACATAAATTGTGCTTTCAATACAATATGTCATGTATAAATATACATGCAACACATATTATAGATATTGTTTAAATTATATCTATAATGCTCCTTTCAACAAGATACAACAATACCATCAGGGGAATGACTTAATTCGGCTGTCTATCCCACAACCCATTCAAATAGTTGAACGGCAAGTATCCGACACGGACCACATGCAGCAAGTCGCTGTTCGGCGAAGGTCTCCACATCTAAATTGATACGCCCGCAAATGGCTTGGCCAGTCTGAGCTTTGCGCCGACGGATAGTTTCGGCAGCCTTCGAAAGTGGTTCTGATCAAGTTCCGAGAACCTTGCGTTTTTCTTTTGCCCACCAGCACTGAAGCCGGGACAAGACATTTGGAAACATGTCGCTCTTTTGGAGAATACTACCCGTCTGGAAGTTCCCGACAGCCTGACGTAGAAGCCACGAGGGGTCTGGGCGCTTTGCAAGTAATGTCAGGAGATGATTAGTAAACCCCCCCCCCCGATTAAAGGTTTCCCCTTTTCCCCCCAGGTTCCAACCAACACTAAAGTAAAGGGCCAACAAGATTTCCAAAAAAACGCCTACCCAATAATTTTTGAGCCCTCCCCAAAACCCCCCCTGATTAAAGGTATCCCTCTGCAGCCCCCAAGCCAACAAAACCTGCCAGAAAGGTGCTTTCCTTCTTGCTTAGTATTTGCTGAGTCTGTGCTTAAACCCACCAATACTAAGTCACTATGACCCCCTCAAGTTTTCCCAAAAAATGTGCTTCCCCCGAAATGCATTTTTCCTTATTAAATTTTGTTTGACATGAAAAGGTTTTCCAGTTCACAAAGGGGACCCCCCTTGGAGGCCAGTCCCCCCTCATTAACAGAAAACCCCCCGCGATTAATCAGGGCCCTTTTGGGCTCAAAACCCAAAAAATATGCTGTTGCCTTTTAAAGTCCTACTGTCCCGAAGGGACCAGAAGTAAGAGGACGAGGACTGAAGGGGCTCCAGAGTAATCAGGGGGGTCCTCCCAAAAATCTCATTTTTGGGGACTTGTCCAAACCTTGTCAACCTTGAAGGGGGGGGGCGGTTTACTAATCAGTTGTCACCATTAATGCACTAACATGGACTCCCTGCCTTGCTAGGACAAAGCAACACCAATGAGGAGTCTCTGACATGACATTTTCATGAAAAACTATTGATCTCAGGCTCCAAAACCCCATCCTCGCCCATCCCTTTCAGAAACTAGCCGACCCTGGGCGTGGTTGCCATTTGCAAGACAGAAGAATCTGAGCAAACTCCAGCAACTAACTCCTAAAGGAACACATGACAAACAAAAACACAAACCTGCAACATTTTGTTGCAGTAAGCAGCCTTCATTGAGCTCGTGTTGCTTCCAGAAGCATCCCTGAGGAAGTACAGCTCCGTCTTGGCTTTTTGGAGCCGCCCTGTGGGATTGAATTCACTTCCGAACTGGATGCTGGCCTCTTTTATTCTCATGAGCCCGAGTTACTTGGGGGTCTTTCATTTTAGGAGTCCTTCAATTCTTCTTCCCTTTTCTTCGGTGGGCGCGGTGCCCCCGAAATCTGCCAATGCGTCGTCGGCAAAAGCTGAAAGCTTCCAGGGAGGTCTGCCTGAGTCTTTTAGATCGGCAAACGGTTCCAAGAGATCGACGAATATGGCCAGGGCCGAAACCACCGCGGACTTCTCACGTGGCTGATTTCAATTCTTGCTATAGTTTGCTCTTATGTTCGTCGTTGATGTCACGCTCACTTCCGATCGAGTGGATTGGCCCAAAGCAAGTCAAACTGTGTTGTTTACCGCTAAAACGGTCTTCCCAACAAGTAAGTCCAGGCACTCGGGGAGTGAGCAATGGAAGCAGACGATCGGAAGGTGCTGGAAGACCTTTCCTTTTGGGAACCTCCCGATCCACAATATATGGCTGCGGGTCAAAACCCAGGAAACCCCTGGTGAACATCAAAATAGGTGGTACATGGGTGTTCATCCGCCCCTACCCGGTGGCCATGGGAAAAGAATCGGCATCCATGTTTTGGTGGCTTGACTTTAAAGGGACACCCGAAACCTCTTGTTTTTTGCTGGGTTGACGAAAAAAAGGCACACCCTTCCCCAACAAAAGGAAAACAACGGCACCACTGGGCCACTGAGTCTCCATGCAAGAACCCAGGTACTGTAGCAAACCGGCATTGAAACAAATGCCCACGTCTAAAATGCTTGTACCAAATGCGGTGCCCCAAATTGGAAGCTGAACAAGGGAGAGAAGGGGTCATTTGGTTGGCACGGGATTTGACTCGATTTTCCGAGTGCGTGAAAAAAAACATCCGAGAGAACCACATGTCCTTGGTCAGCAAACAATCCTCCCGCGAGTGGTTCGACCACAGGTTGCCGCTTTAAATGGCTACGATGTTGCACATGAGTCGTGCCCAAAACCCACTGATGATTGTCGCTACCAACATGGTTATGAAAGCCTTATGTAGACCTTCATATAACCACCATAAGACCAGTAGAACCGCCCAAACAAAGGGGTTTTGGGCGCTGCCTGCTCACACGCGCGGTATGGAGGTTGGCTGGAAGGGCTGGAAGGGCTGGAAAACATGGGAAACTTCCATGGCGCCTGTTCTGCCAATAAACTCAGCTTTTGCCCCTGCTCTCAGCATCCCAAGGTGTGCCGAAATTGGGGGAAACCCATTCCAGAAGTTCTTATCCCAATCCAAACCACCCATTTCAGGGTTGCCTCATTCTCTTTGAGCTCCTGGTTCATCATGCCGCCTCGTCTCTTTTTTTCTTTTTTTTCGGAGTTGGACCCCAGAAAAGGGTTGCCTGAACTGGATTCGTTGTAACGAAAAAGACGGGTACCCGAAAAGAAAGCAGACACCTATGTGGAAAGCTTTAAACTGTGCCAAGTCGTAAGATATGGCAGAATTCACATTCAGCATAATGTCAAAGACTCGGATGCCCAGTGGATTTCCATGAGAAAAGCATAGGCGTCCTATTGGTCGGTTGAGTTTAAAGGGAACCCTTCCCCAAACAAAACGTTGAAACAAGGGCTGGGCTGTTCAACATGGAGGGTTGGCCAATCCTAATCCATAATCCCTACAGGGAAGCCACTACAACAGGGCTTCCCTATTGCGTCACCCAAGGTAAGGATTGAGGATTACCTTTGAACAGCCCAGAAGGGTGCAAGAATAAGAGATCCTGAATATCCTCCAACTCGACTTCCAACCCCTTTTGAAGGCCAGGCGATGTTTTTTTCACAGGCCGAACGGCTTTTGAAGGCCAGGCGATGCTATTCACAGGCCGAACGGCAGTGCTAAACGGAAGGCCGGTTGGTCCCTAGCGTCCCGTTGCAACGAAGGCTTGGGTCAAGTTAGGGTGAAACTACAGCCCTGGGATGGTCCACATGTTCTAAGTCCAAGAAAACCAGAACACTTTGGCTTGACTACTTCAGCATGGAAGGCCAAACAAAAAACCAATTTGCCAGTGACGTCCCCTTCTTGGGGGACCACCCGGCCCTGGAGGGAACTGACGCGCTCTTTGCGGCGGCACACTGTGCTCCAAAGTTCTGCGCGACTTTTCTCAGCCGATGGCTTTCTGAGCGATGGCTTTCCATCCGATCCGAGCGGATTGAGTCCTAGGTCCAAACCACAGGAGAGGCTAGAATAAGGGTACCCGTTTTTTTTTGTTCCTGTTTGTTTTGTTTTTGATTTTATTTTCTGTAGTCTATTTTAGTAGGGGCACCCTCCCCCAACAAAGGGGAGAGAAGGGCACTACTGGGGGGCGTAGGAGTCCTAATCAACACCTGGCTCGAAGAAGTCGGCCCAAAATCTGCGGATCTTTCGCGCCTAGCTCTGGCTGGAAGTCCCCTAATCTTCATCCACACCCCAACTCACCATCGGCAATCACAATTACCTGAGCTGTTGCCCAAGCCAAAATCACCATGTTTGATTCTGGCCCACTTTTCTCGTGAATGTAAATTTCGACAGGGCCAGAAAAAAGTGTTTGCTGGGTGGTTCCCGAAACAGGGTTGATCAATATGCCTGGCCCCCAAATGACCACGGGTGACTTGTCCCATTTAGTGGGAAACCTGATGAAGAAGCTTCCCCTCTTAAACACAGAGAAACAAAGCCTCAAACCAAAAGAAGCTTCCCCTAGATTGAAACACCCCCAAAGAAGCCTCAAACCGAATGAAGTAGCTCCCCTATATTAAAACACCCCCAAAGAAGCCTATGAAAAATATTTAGGGGCCGCCGCTCAGACAGGTCGTTCCTTCGATTCGCTCAGACGGGGCGCTGCTTGGAGCCGAGTCGTTGCTTGGAGCCGAGTCGCTTCACATCCCGCCTGATCGAGCGTGCGGGCGAGCGATGCGAAGGGCGAAGAGAAGCTGAAAGCAACACCAGGGCCTCGTGAAATTGGAAAAACCCGTTGAGAAATGCAAAGAAGGCGGCGGCGGCGGCGGCGGTTGTCCTTTGGTGGTCAGTAGGGAGTAAGGGAATCACCCCTACAAGACGTCCGTTAGTCTAACATCATGGGATCCCATTCCCCAAAGCTCTGGACATTCAAAATTCTGAGAACCAGCAAAATGGGTTGCTTTCATGGGCGGCAGGGAGCATGTGGCTTGTCTCTCATTTCTTTGGGCTTCGGCGTGCTCAAACTGCACCATCCAACTGGTTTAGGGCCAGGTCCGACAACTTTGGGGATGAATTGAATGCGGGTTTCCTTTGGCGGACATCAACTATGGGGATATGTCTGACCAGCGGACATTTGGAGGAGACCCCAGAAGTTGTTCCGCAGCAGATTCGATATCCCCCTTTGGGTGTTAATTTTAATGGGTCCCGCGGACCCATTAAAAGGTGAACATTTGGGGATTCATGTCCGACCACAATTCACCATTTGGGTTTGTCCTTTCAAAGGGGACCCAAAAAAATGGCCTCAAATCGGTTCCTTTAAACCCAAAAAGGGTCAAGCCGAGGCAAGCCAGAAAAAGACGAGCTCGCACTATGGCCGGGGATTCCCCGCAAATGTCCGCCCTGCCTGAGGCGGTGCAGGTTCGCCGCGCGCTCCACGTCGGGGAGGCACTTCTGCAGCCTAGCGTGGCAAACGAAGTCGGGGCTTCGGCTTTGGGGAAGGGGGGCCTTTGTGTTTTGCCTCCCACCCACAGGACATGTGAAAAAAAAACTCCGGACCACCACAAAACAAGAGGGGAAAAAACAGATCACAGCAGTTTGCTCGGTTTGTCCTATCGGTGTTTGGCGGGTTGAACAAATATTATTCTTTGATCCCGCGTTAGGTCTCAGGTTTCAGCATCATAGTTCCTGAGATCCAGCGAATTCCAACCCCTCCTCGCGTGATGCTACCAGCCAGGGGAAGCATAAGGGATCAAACAGGCCGCCCTGAGACGGGGCCCTTCCAAGGAGACCCCAAAGCAATCCCTTCAGTCGTGTCTCAAAAAATGCGGGCACGCCCTAAAACCCGCGGTTTCCTCTTGCTGTCCCTTTAAAACCGCAAAGCGCTTCCCTCGGGACAAAAAAAAAGAAGAAAAGAACAACAAACGATCGCAACCCTCAAAATAGGGCCCCCCCCATCTCCCCCCCCCAAAAAAAAACGAATTCCTCTTGGTGTCCCATCCAAAAATACAAACACACGACCACCCTCGCAAAAAGTACACACCCGCCACCCATATTCTCGAATAAAAAGTTCGCAGCTGCTTTTCAAAGGAGGCCACCATCCGTGGAGACCTCGCAAATGGACTTGTCTCACACAATAACTTTTGGCGCACGAAAGATAGATAGATAGATAGATGGATGGATGAATGGATGGAAGGAAAGAAGGAAGGAAGGACGGAAAGAAGGAAGGAAGGAAGGAACAAACGAACCAACAAGCCAACATACCAACAAACAAACAAAAAAACAAACACGCAATAAAACAAGCAAACAAACAAACAAACAAACAAACCCAGCCACCCACCCACGCACAAACCCACCAACCAACCAACCAACCAACCAACCAACCAACCCACCCACCCACCCACCCACCCACCCACCCACCCACCCACCCACCCACCCACCCACCCACCCACCCACCCACCCACCCACCCCCACCCACCCACCCACCCACCCACCCCCAACCCGCCCAACCCCCCCACCCAACCCAACCCCACCCCACCCCACCCCACCCCACCCACCCACCCACCCACCAACCCACCAACCCACCAACCCACCAACCCACCGACCCACCGACCCACCGACCCACCGACCCGCCGATCCACCGACCCACCCACCCACCCACCCACCCACCAACCAACCCACCAACCCACCCACCCAGCCACCCACCAACCAACCAACCCACCCACCCACCCACTCACCCAGCCAGCCACCCACCAACCCACCAACCCACCAACCCACCAACCCACCAACCCACCTCCCACCAACCCCAGCCAACCCACCAACCCACCAACCCACCAACCCACCAACCCACCAACCCACCAACCCACCAACCCACCAACCCACCAACCCACCAACCCACCAACCCACCAACCCACCAACCCACCACCCACCCCCACCAACCCACCAACCCACCAACCCACCAACCACCAACCCACCAACCCACCCACCACAAACCCACCAACCCACCAACCCACCAACCCACCAAACCCACCAACCCACCAACCCACCAACCCACCAACCCACCAACCCACCAACCCACCAACCCACCAACCCACCAACCCACCAACCCACCAACCCACCAACCCACCAACCCACCAACCCACCAACCCACCAACCAACCAACCAACCAACCAACCAACCAACCAACCAACCAACCAACCAACCGAGGTCCATCTTGCTCTTAGCGGAAACCGCATGAACATATTGCACATCCAAAACATCCGGGCATGGATTTCATGCTGGTCCGCATTGAACTTAGCCATAACTTGGACACCAGGAGGCTCAAGGAAACTTGCACTTTGAAGAATTCCCGCTGTACTGGCTTGAATTAATCTTGACAAAACAGCTCGAGCAAAGGATGACAGAACGGTTTACCAGGCACTCTTACAGAGATGCAAACACACACACACACACACACACACACATGTCCCACTACCTCATCCCAAAGGGCAATTTCATGCAGTCCGTGGGGCTTCAACATACCAGCACTCGGCCGCAGACTCGGCCGCAAAAACCCCCAACTCGAGCCCGCGACCCGTCAAGGTCACAGTGGCAAAAGCTAAACGAGTGCGGTATGTTAGACATGCCTCACAAGCTGAAAGCCTGTTGGTGCACTGCGGGAAACGTGATGTGCTGTTCAAGTTCCAAACCAGCGGGTCAAACTACCGGTACTTGGGCACATGGGGACAGTCTCCTTTTGGTTGAAGATAGAGGGGAGTTTCCCTGGTGGATGAGAAACATAAAAGTGAACAAGGAATCGCCGTCTCTCGACCAAAACAGCCGAAAAGGACACCTATGATGCCAAAAAGTCAGGCTTCAAGTCTACAAAATCACCAAGCCCGTGCATGTTTGATTCAGCCGCTTCCTTCCCTCGCCTCAAGTGGAGATGTTCAGGCAAATTGAGTAGGAACCAAACCAAAGCCAGCAGAATAAATTTGTGTATGGGTCAAAATTAAGCCGACAGGGGACCACAGGTTTTAGTCTATGACCATCAGCCAGGGTTTCATTTTGGGTACCCATTTTTGACCACAGCCATTTATATTTTCCGCCAAACCCACCTAAGAAGCTCACCTCTGCCTTCTTTGTGCCGTCCCAGTTGCACTTCGGTGAGCCATCTCCGCGCAGTGTGTCCTCGCGGAGACGCGAAGCAACAGCCGCGCTTCTCTCCGCCCACTCGGCCCCCCTGCCGTTTTCTTCAGAGCCAACATGGAAAATGACAGTTCAAGCCCCCTGACTCTGAAGACGTCTTGTCCTACCCGGTTCGGCTTTGGATTCGGTTAATACTTTGGTTGGTTGCTGGATGAGTTTCCTCTTTCCCAGAGAAGTGGGCTGATAGGCCCAGGGTCAAAACCAGCGGATCTTGACTTCACAACGAAATAGGGAGCTGCTAGGAATAGCCTGGAGGGGTGTTGAGTTCTCGCACTGGCCGAAATGTGGACCCACACAAACCCACTGAAGTTCTGCGCGAGACGCACGAAGCATCTGGTTCTTGCGATAACACAAACCAAGAGTTTGAACCAAGGAACCCCGAGACATGGAGCCAGAGCCCGAAGACACACGAAGAATCAAGTAGGGACCAGTTTGTTTCCCAATGTCGCTTTCTTTTTCAACAGATATGTGTTGCTCTGTTCTGGGCTAGCACTGGCTATGATATCAAATGGTACAAAGGGGTACGTCAAGAAAATTGGAATGCTCGCAAAAGGAAAGGGTCAACGGCCCTTTCGTTCGCAGGAAGGAGGCACCAATGTGATGTCTTCGCTTGGCAGAAACGCCTGCCACGATACCTTGCTTGTGCTTGGGCAAGCATCAACACGCGTACTCAGTACAAACATATCAAACACCTCACCGCATGCGTGTATGCTGTGCATGTGTGCACACGTGCTTTGTGCTGTGATGGATGTCCAAGCAACCCAATATCAAGTGAGGGATCGGATTGCGATGGCGTTTGGCTCCTGTGCTATCCAGGAATGGATCCTCCCTGTAGGCCATCATGGTGTCGCGATTCCAGAGCTCGATGCCTCTGCCGACCTGGAACGCGTGACGCCGCGCCACCGCTGTGTGCCATGGTGCCGTCCAAAGTCAGACCGATCGAGCTGACAATGCCACTACCCCGTGCCCCTCGACTTTGTACAGTTGAAGAACAACAAAATCTGCGGTCCCAAGCGGTTGCAAAATACAAATGAGCCGCATGCAGAAAAGCGTTGCAAAATCAACGGAAACTCAGAGTGTCCTTCCATTACCGAATGTGGGATGCGAAAAACATACTCAGACTTCTGATGATATAAGAGGACCCCAGGACGAATAAGCCCCCCCCATTAGGCTGTCCGATTTTAGCGAGATCATTCACTTTGAGGGAACCGTTCCACTGCTAATCCACCAGGTTGTTTCATCCGAGGTCGACATGATATCACTTGCCGTGCGGGTGTTGACCTGTTAAAGATATCACTTGCCGCCTTCATCCCCACGATTCAGACCACAAGAGGGCTATCATGGGGGCTGGGGGGGAGGGAGGGGAGGGAGAACGAGCTCAAATCAGCCCTTATTAAGCCCTAAGCCCCAATGCAGGGCTTCTTTGGGCTCCCTCCCCCTCCCCTCCCTCCCTGCCAGGTTCCATAAGGCTTGGGCAATTGTTGCCATGGCTGATCGCGATCCTTTGGCAACCGGGCATGCAAGCCTCTCTGCATTGCATATTGCTGCCCCCCAAAAAAAACAACAACAAAAAGAACGTCATGCCACCAATAGGAGCCTCATCTCACCAAAGCCTTTCCACAGTGAGAAGGGGCGCCAGCTTCTCTTTGATAACATGGCCACAGCAACAAACTCATATCGGGGGTACTTCAGGAGAGAGCAACTGAAGCAGCTGGAGCCCCCCATAAACAATACACCTGCCGATGAATATAACCCTATTGGTTGAATACGTTTACGTGGCTATCACCATGCTGGGGGAAAAACGAAAAACCAGTGATACCAAAGTGGACTATCTTGTCGCTTAGGGGTTCACATGGAATCGGCCCAAAACCCTTTCCCCAAACCATGGCTATCATCTTGCTGGTACTCAGTAGGGAATGTGGGAATGAACCCAGGGGTCCCGTGGATTCTATGGTTCATTCCATTTCTCCTTCCCTGCATCTCTCGCACCAGCAAGTGGCTATGGATCAAAACCCAAATCGTAATTCCAGTGAACATCCGATCCAATCCAACCACTAAAATGGGAAGCCTAAAATGGGTGGTGAATTCACCTACCAACCAAAATGGGATCAACCAAAACGGTGTTGACAACCACAGCCACACGTCAGAATGACAAGTTTTGAGGGATGGCTAACCCCCACAAGGAGATTCCCTATCACACAAATGGCTTGGAGAAGTCATTTTGCTTGACACCTCCAGCTCAAAACGGGGGGCGCCTTCGCCACCACGCGGCTGCAGGTGCCGTTCACGCCTCAAGGTCGCTAAGAAACTCCCGGCTCACTGCTCGGGGCTTTGGGCGGAAGGGAGGGAGGGAGGAGGAGACAACTGGGCGGGTCGCCCAAAAAATGCTTCACCCCCCTTTTGCTGTAAATTCTAAACAACCTTCTGGTTTCTCTTTACTAGGGGGCCAGGGTGGCAGCCGGTGTAAGTCGAACAACATGTCTTTGAACTGGACGTGACAGTCGTGGCCACGCATAAGGTTTGGGACGATTCCCAAACAAACCCTTGCTAGGAGGGGTCAGTTCGCCCCATAAAAGCGTACTATATGGGTGTGTCTTTTTGGTGCTATGCTGTTTAGGGTTGCTTGAAAGGGAAACCCAAGGTAACCATTGCCATTTTGGAAATCCCTCGAATAGTTCACAGGAAGTTGTTGCGTGGCACGATTCTTTGCATCGTGCGTCTAGACTCTAGACTAAAGCGTTGTATACTGCACTGTTCTCAGCGCATGCTGTTGTCAGCGGTCATTCTTGCTTGTTTCGCTGGCATGTTGTCTTTGGATTGCAAAAACAAATGCCAGATATGGGCGGTTCAGGCATGTTGCTGTGTCATCTTGGGATCCCATTGCGCCTCCATGTTATCTTGGGATTGTCAATTCAAGTGAACCACACTTGGCGGCTTGCGGGCAACAAAAGTACGATGGACAATCGCTGCCCGATTACAAAACTGACGTCTGGTCAAATGAGAAACATGGGTATGTCTCAAAATAAGGAGACCTGAAAATGGTTGGCACCAACTCACAAACAAGACACACCCGTATGTCAAAGGGCTCCATGTTTGGTTTCCTCATTCAGAAGATGATGTGGCATGGATAACAAGCATTCCTTGATGACAGAAACCTAGATGGTGTCTAGCTTCTTGCCCATTCGTGTCCTCATGTCAATGCCACATTCAGACCAAATTGGCTCCTCGAAAGTGGGTGTGTGATTTGTTGGGGGAGCCTCCTATTCGTTGTTTTCTGGGGAACCCCCAAAGTTGTTGGAGGTCAGTCCTCATTCTTTGAAAAGAAGGAATGTGGCCAACATCCACTGATTTGGGAAACACACTGTAGGATCCCTCTGACCGCAACGACCCACCTCCCCCAAAGAACACTTGGCCTGCTGATCTTTCCAATTTGGGTGTCCATTTTTGTGCCCTTTCTTCAGTGCAGTTTAAAGGGAAACCAGAAGGAGAACCCGCCGTTTTTGTTTGTCCCCTCAAAAAGTGTGGCCTCAAGCCTTCCCGCAGATGAGATTTCCGCTAAAAGAGGGGAATCCGGATTTCTGGGATTCTGTAACTTCTGTAACTTCAGTATGTTTAGATCTGCACCAAGGCACCTCCCCCCCCCTCCGGAGACCTGTAACTTCCATGAGGGAAGTCTGACGTTGGGCCAAGGCGCGGTTGTCTTCTTTGAACTCCCACTGCACTTGGTTCGTGGTGAAGAGCTGGCACCGACAGCTCCGAACGCTGCGCGAAGGGGCAAAACCCAAAAACGGATCACCCGAGAAAAAAAGACGCGAGATGCGTCCAACCTCAGATGCCCAGTGGCCATGGGAAAGAAGTGGTGTCCTTTTTTGGTGGGTTGACTTTAAAGGGCACCCCTTCCCAAAAAGGAGCAAAAACGGCACCACTGGGCAACTGGGCAACCCACCAGGAGAAGCATATTTGTTTTGACCGAACATTAGCGCCCCGCCGCCAACTTTGGGACTCCCCATGTCGCCCAATGAACTTGCCCAGAGGTGTCCTTCGAATCCCGCCGCACGCGCGGAAGCCTCTTTGGCATAACATGGGATCCTCTAGGCCTAGGCCCGCGCCGGAAATGTCATGGTCTGTCGATGGCATGAAACCAGGAACCCACTAAACTAATGCCCAAAGTCATGTGCCTCTACGTAGTGCATTTTGCTCAGGACTCCCTTGTACTCTCCCACAACCCCCTCACTTGAGTCACGTGCTCTGAACCAGAGGCCGATTGTTGCATCGCCACAAATTGCTCTGCTCGCCGGAAGGGCGAAGCTTTCTGCGGATCTAGGCCCAGTCAAGGCCTGCATTTACCAACCTTCACGGAAACATAGCATGGTGTTCTCCTCTATCAAGGTACTGCTGCACGCCTGCGTTAAGAAGTCCTGAGGTACGGATCCTTAACTTGGTTAGGTTTGGGGAGCAAACATTTTCAAAAGTTTTAGCAGCTAGGTGGTTGGATTTCAACCACTATGTGAAAAGAACCACAATCAGCAAAAATGTAAAATGTTTCCCAACAACAACCATGGTAAGATTCGGTTAATTAGTAAGGTAGCAATCATGATGCCAGTGGTCTCACAAGGCAGATCGTCCTCTTGCCCTCAAAGAAATGGAAGGCCACATTGTTGCTTGCTGTCGCGCAAACCGAACCCAGGCCGCCATGTTTAAGGATTGACGCACAGAACTCCCTTGCAGCAAAAGCTGCAAACTCATTGCAGTGAGTTCGCACATGGGGGCGAAAGGTCTTTACATAGGGTGACCATTGGTTGAAAGATCCCCAGAAAGGTGATATTTCAACCCGGGGTCAGTTCGGGGCCCATAGAATATTGATCACCCCATGTGACACTTCACCGAAACGCACCCAAACCTCCCAACCCTCCCGCACAAAGCGACGTGCTCAAGCCTGCGAGAGAGTGAGCTTGATTCGCTCTGCCATGTACTGGTAGGCTGAGCCGATCTGGGCCAAACCAAAACACGCTGGCAAGGCGTGTAACAAATCTGAAAACATTTTGCTATAATTACAAAGCTCAACTAAGGGATCCCCAAGCAAAGGACCTTTACCACGGTGAGCTCGTTACACTTCCAGGTGAGCTTGGTATAAAATAGGCAGATCAAATCCCTTGCCCAGATTGACGTGGAAGCCTAAAGCCATGGCGTGAGCAATCTTCCTGTTCAAGGGTATCCTTGTTCTCAGATGTCCAACCAACTTAGCAAGTAGGTTATATACAACCATGGTCAGAACTTGGGCAACTGGGGTTGGACCCCTCGGAACCATGGTTTTAACCTACTTAGTCGGTTCAACATGCAAGTTGGGTTCCATCTTAGCTTGCAGGGGAGTACCAATATCCCTCCTGCTTTCTTTGGTCGCCTTTCCTATCTCTCTCGGTACCAATCTGACGACCGCAAAAGAAATCCGCCTGCAGCGGCTCATTCAATCTGTGCCACTTCAAAGTTCGCAAGCTTTTCTTCAGAACCCTTAAACATCACCACCTAGGTCCTCCAGTAGAGAGGTTAGCATAAGGGTACCAACTTTTTTCTTTAGTCTATTTTAGTAGGGGAACCCGCCCCCCAAAAAAAGGGTCAACGGGCATTACTGGGGGACCTGGCCACACAAGGAATCTCACTGCATGCCAAAAGGGTGATCTTTAAACATCACCCGGAAAATCACTCGGCCCGATTTCAACTTGACTTCAGGCTCGGGTTTGCCTGGACACCTGAAGTTGAGAAGTCATGTTTCTCCTTTGCGACCTCCGGGTGGGTTGGCTTCAGGAAAAATGGGTAAAGGGAGAACCCAAGGTTTCCACCTTTCCCCTCCGCCAACATGGAAGCTTCCACCTACCCCCACCTCCTTCCATTTACAGAGGCCTTCTGGGAGCTTCCCTCTGTTTGAGGGAGTGTAGCTCATCCAAAAAAGAAATGATTCACCAAACATGATTCCCATACTGACATGATTCACCAAAAAAAGGGAATGAACTGATTCAGCCTCCATTTCAAAGCCTCCCATAAACCCTCCCTTTCAAGGCAGGCGCCGGCCAGTGAGCTAGAGACTGCCATGAGGCACAAAAACCCGCTCCCGCGGACATGGGCCCACTTTTCTTAGGGTACATACGGCCATGGGTCAAAATCCCTTTTCCCCCCAGTGAACATCCCAATGTCCACGAAAATAAAGCCGAAAATGGGGGGTGCGCCTACCCCAAAATGGGATCCGATTGGTTTTGACCCACAGACATATTTGGAAGAACCTGGCTTCTAATCGTAAGTGCCTCCTTCTTTACTCAGTTCGCATCATGCTGCAAAAAAGATGGGTATTTCGAGGGGATGAAGATTCACCTGACCATGAGCCATAGACTATTCTAAAAACCCTCCCTGAAAGCTGCCATATCTGGGCACAGACCCCATAGCTTTCAGCCATAGCTTTCAGCCGTCGGAATGGTCCCGCCCAAACGTTGTGCCGGCGGCAATGCCGAGGCGCCCAAAACTGCAAGACCTCGGCGCCCACAACATGTTACACAAGCACTTGGACGCAGGGGGTCGAACGAAAGCACCAAAAACAGTGAGGAAAACGGCTTGGCTGCCGAGTCAACCGTTTCCAAAACCCAAAGATGGTTATACAGGTCTATGGGCTTTACTATAACCTGCATAAGACCGGGTAGTAGAACCAAGTAACATGGCAACTGGGAATCCATCAGTTGGCGCTCGAAACCTTGGCTTGCGCTTCCCTGGAGCAAAAAGCAATGGCAGCTCAGTGGGCCGTCGCAAGTCTTCCAAAGAAACTCAGGAGGTATACCCAGCCCCGGAGCCCGACTCGTTCGGCTCCCTTGGGCCAAGCTCCAGCGGTGGGGGAAAAATGGCGGCGAAGCAAGCCCGCGAAACGAAACCAAACGTGGCGCCGGTGGGTCTGGTCATTTTCCGTTTGCGCAAACGGACGGATCTTGTGAATTGCCCGAGTTTGGCAGAGTCTGAACCCTAAATCCTGGATTCGACCGGGAATCTGAGGGATCTCCGCGATCAGCGTCCTTGTCTGGAAGTCTGCTTAGATGCAACCTTGACAACCAAGGGATGTGCGCCCTTGTTGTTGCAACTGGTGGTGGCAAACCATATTGGCGTGAATCAAACACACAATATGATTTTGATCCCAAAACACACAGCGACACATGGGTGTTTCGTCTCCCTGGCTGTGCGGAAATTGGCACCTTCAATCCAAGCATTGACTACCAACAGATTTGTCAGTTCAAATTATCATAAAGGTCGGACTTTTGACAGGCAGTTCTTGTGATGCAGGCCAAAGGACCCCCCAAAAACCACCTCCTTGAAACCCTGGGCAGGAATACGCGTCCCAGTGTCTCTCCCGATTGTCGTAGGTTGTCTTTTCGGGTTTTGCTTGCTTGCCGCGGATAGGAAAAGCACTGACAGAATGTGGGTATGCGTCAAGTTACCTCCAAACATGGTTGGTTGCCTTTTGTTTTCTCTTTAAACAATCCTTAGCAAGGGCATCCCCAGAAAACACGCCCCCAAGCAGCCCCCATCATGCGTCACCTAACCTGAAATAAGAAATCGACACCCCGAAAGCCACTTGTTAGATCATGTCGAACCAAAACCTCCCCCAAAAGAAAGGGAAACAATTTTGCGGGGTACATGATAGGCTCATGGGTTCGTTTCAAATACTACATGCATTAATAATTGTACGAGTACTTTGGTGCAAGCAATCAGAACCCGTTTAAAACCAAAAACAAACAGTGAAACGGGTATCCGCACGCGCACAATTGGGGTATGTGTTGAACCCGCCTGAAATTGGCCTGAAAAGAGTACCAACTCCAACAAAAAGCACAATACCATTTGAGCTGCGACCAAAACCCACTGGCTGTTGGCTCTAACATGGCTACAACATGTCACAAAGGTGTCTAGGCTTTACGAAAACATCAAGTTGGTTCTGGTTACTAACATGGCTGTGGGTCAAAACCCTGTACCCCTGGTGACATCAAAATAGGTGGTACATGGGTGTTCCGTTCCAAAATGGCTCGGCATAGGTTATGACCCATGGCCACATGTTTGTAAAGGTGTATAGTCTGCACGAAAACCTCAATGAGGCCAAACCTGGTGGACCCAGTCTGTCTGTCCCTCTTGGACTTGTCAGATGCTTCTCGCCGGGTGGCGACCGGCTTTCCAGGCCGCGTCTCCATGAGCGGCTTCTCGGGGGCGCGGTAGCTATCCATTTTCACCATCTCATCTTGCGCGAGATCGGAAGCCAAGGGGAAGAGACAGGAGGAGCCCCGACCAAAGCACCAAACTTCTGGTGCGGAAACTGGACAAACCATGCTGTGAGTTCTATGTTAATCTGGATAAGCTCACCAGCCGAAGCGACATCTCTCGACTCAACCATCTGACACCCTTTCGCCTGGACAGACACGCCCACATCCTCTTTCGAGCCCTTTCACGCATCAAGAAAGCCATCCCTTAATTGAACCCCCCTACAACCACACAGCCCGTTTTCTTTTTGGAGACCGGCTTGTCGACTAAAACTCTTTGCCCGATCAGCCGCAGGCGGCGTGACCTCTCTGAAACGTTGCGTTGACCTCAACACAAATGCCTGGAATTACCTGCCTTCCCGGATTCCCCCGAATAGACAAATGGTGGGAAGCCCAAGCCGACTTGCCACCCTTGGCAAGCATTTTCTGAAGCCGGGACTCTAGCAGTAGGGAGGGGACGAGAACACCTTTGGTTACTCGGGGCACTGCACCCGTTTGGGCAGATCAAAAAACATCTCAGCTTCTGCCCCCAAACCAAAATCTCAGATACTCTGGTATATTTATATTCCGGCCTGTCTTTTGTTAGGGGACCCCAATAATGCCCTTCGGTTTTCCTCTTTGGCTTCCTTTTACAACCATCCAAAAAGCGGGTCCGCCTAAAAAACAGGGCAGACCCATCTTCGGTGCACCCGCCGGCCGAACCAAAACATAATTTCTCAGGGCGCCTCGTTGAAGGCTCTTAACTTTCTCCAGCATCCGGAGCTCTCTGTCCGGATACACCTCAAACCGGCCGGATTCGAAGGCTTCCGCCGAGTTCGGCCGCCAAAAGATCCGCGCCGAGAGGCTGGTGAGGAGAAAAAAGGGGAACTTGCCAGAGCTGTTGATGCTACACGCACCCCAAACAAACTAAAAGGGCTCCAAGTTGCGCTAACCCACAGTGATTTTTTTAAGTAGAGAACTGGGTCCCAAGATACATTTCTCAAAATCGCCGTGGCTTGAAGGGCGAAAGTAAATGGACTTTGAGAAGCGCAACATGCAGCCTAGTGCCGCCTAGCGCTGCCGCCAGGCAAGGGACTTGCTTTGAGGGCACACCCCTTTTTGGGTAAGCGGGACTCTGGATACGCGGGGCCTCCAGATTTTGTGGGCTCCTCCAGAAAAAGCGCGCCTTCTCAAGAAAATGAGAAGGCAGCTGTGAAAAAATCAGGCGCCCAGAAATGCGGCGCACCTCTCGGGGAAAAAAAAATGGGAGCCGTGCTTTCCCAAAACCGCCGTGCATGGCGCCCTGGGAAAGGCTACAAAGACCCTCGAGGGACACCGACCAAAACCCGGGCATCGTGGTTGTTAAAACGTCTCGGCCTAGTGATGAGAAGAACGGCTGCAGCTTTGGTTGGTTGGTTTCAAACAGAGGGGCCCCTACTTGTCGAAGGAAAAGGATGAGGGATCCACTGAGCAAGTCCAGATGAGGGGGTCCATGCCCACCCCTACAGAGAGGCAGGGTGCTTCGACCAGGTCACCCCCCAAGAGACGGGTTTAAGGGGAGCAACCTCGGCCAATGAACATACGATATCCGCAGCAACAAACAAATCATGACCACAGTCTTGGGGATTAAAAAATCATTCATTCACCACAAGAATCAACCACCCCAAAACGAGGTACTCCCGCAACCCACAGGATTCTGGGATGATTCACCAGCCCAAGAATGTGTTCGACTTGTAAATTCGGGATGCCCAGATCGTCATTGGACCTTGGCGTTTGGAGAAGGCAAGCCACCTTCTGCTCTGAACTGCGACATTCGCTAGTTTTACTCATGCCCCCCACCACACTGTGCCGTGTCAGCTCAGGAGAAAGGGGGGGCTCCAGGAAAAGGAGTCGTCCGACGGGGGAGCACCGCCAGCGCTCGCTTTGATTCCTGCATGCACGGCACCCAATTCAGGAACTCGTCGAAGGTAATCGTGCCGGAGTTGTCCACATCGATGAACTCCTAAGGAGCCACCTCCCCTCTTTGACTAGGTCCAAACCAGTAGAGAGGATAGAATAAGGGTACCCTTTTTGCTCCTGTAGTCTATTTTAGTAGGGGAACCCTTCCCCAAAAAAAGGGGAGAGAAGGGCACCAACTAGTTGATTTATGGTACCTGCAAATGACCGGTGGACATGAGGCAACGGCTGCTGACCTTGACAAGCGGATGGGCTGTTCAAAAACCTCACCTGGGCTGTTCAAAATGGAGTGCTGGCCAGTCCCAATCCATAATCCCAAAAAAGGAAACCACGACCAAAGTGGACCACTTTGGAAACTAAAGGGATGGATTAAGGATTGCCTAACAGCCCAGAATACAAAGGGCCCAATTGTTTCTGAAGTAGAAAAGTGCTGGGCTGCTCATGGTGGACCAATTCTAATCCATCCTAGGGAACTTTAAGGGACCCCCTGAACCCAGCTGCTGCTCAGTAGGTTCTGAGCACCAGCAAGTAGCCCTCAAACAATGTCTGGCTGACAGCCGCAACCCAATGCCGCCGAGTCTCGTGCAAGTCTCCGCCTGACGACTTCAACCGGACCCTGAAATGGGTGGGGGCCTCTTTTTGTGAGTTGGTACCCGTTTCGGGTGGTTTAAATGGAAACCAAAAGGAAAAACCAAATCCATGTTGGGGGGGGGGGGTCCAACTAAGAAAGAGATGAGCCACCCACATACGGGTCGCGAAGGCTCAAGCCTCGAGTTCTTCCAGGGAACAATCAAGTATAGAGCCCTGTGGGTCACAAAAAGTTCCCAAACACCCACACGTTTCGAGCGTTCGAGCGCTTCAACTTCGTCCCAGTTCTAGTCGTCTGTTTAGGGTAAAGGGCACCGCAAACGTCACCCACTGACCCGCGGCTGGGCGGCTGGCCTTAGACCGCGGCCGGCCTTCCATGGGGGTTTCGAACGCGCGGCACAACTCGGAGGTCGATTTTTTCGTTGGACGTGAAGGGGGGCAAGGCACAGCCAGAACTTGGTAGCTAAGGAGAGCAAACAAACCAAGCCCAAAACAAATCCACCTGCCTGCGGTTGCCGTCATGCACCATCCGCTATGGGCATAATGTGAGCCCCACTATGTACCTCCTAAGACCATGGACTACGGTTGACTTTTTGACCAAACCTCATTTGGGTGAGTCTTTCGCCAAAATGGTGGTTTTCCTTTTGGCTTCCCTTTGGAAACACACAAAAACGGCACCCTCAAAAGAATGACACCCGCATCTCCACAGCTCCCCAAGCTGCTCTTTGGCATAGGCGCTGGCTTCTGGAGGTATTCCGCCGATGGTTTGGATGAAGCGCCAGAACTCGTCTTTGTCGAGCTGGCCATCACCCGTTTTGTCCTGGGCGACTAGTGACGCGGCTGGCGCTGGTGGCCGTCGTTTCAGGAACCTGCAACCGAGGGGGTCGTCTAGTTTTTGTTCTTCTTCTTCTGTTTCGGTGGCATGGGTTTTAGGAAGGCAACTCTCATTCGACATACAAAAAACATGAGCTATCCGAGAAGAGTATGCCTTTCGTGTCGACCCCAAATAAATGTTCCCTCCAAAAAACGCGGCCCGGATCAACTTTACAATGTGACACCTATACCGACAACCTGCATGGGTGTTGTTCAGCAATTGGGGTCCAATGATCAGCTGCTCCACTGCCCTCAAGTTGCTGACACCAAATTGATCCAAGGTGAGAGCAACATTTGGGTGGCCCTAAATGGGTGCTGACAAATGTTTCCCGGAATAGCAACACATCATGGTAGAAGCTGCTAAACCGGGTCCCGGAGTCATGCCCTTTGTTTCTCCAGTGGAGCTGCACCAAGCTTCAGGATGCCAGCGATTGTAGGCCCTCCCAAACTGGTAACTAGTTGGACAAACTGGGCATGGCTGTGCCAAGTATAAGCAGCTCACCCTGAGGTAAGTGCAGCTCACCCATGAAGGCCGTTTGCCGGGAGATTTGGTGGATTTGTAGGCTCGCCCTCATGTTGTACATGCTCTTAATGGAATCCGGTCTGGCTACGTCGCTACCAGAACTCAAAAGCCCAGTGGATGTCCATGGGAAGGAAAAGCGCATCCTGTTGTTGGTTGGTGTATTTAAAGGGAACGCCTTCCCCCCCAAAAAAAGAAAGAAGCATGTGCCAGGCAAGTGGGTGAATGTGCTGTCATACCTTCTGCTTGGTGACTGAGACGCGGTCTGTAGAAACGTCTTGCCCATTCAGGTTCGCAAATAAGTGTGCCCTGTGCAGCAGCTTCAAACACCATCCATTTGTTAAGTCCCCTGGAAAAACAAAAACGTAAAATATTACAAGTA